GGGACATATAGCCCCCGACAACATAGCTCCTAGGATCACTCGGGTACTCAAACCCCTCCACCACAATATGGTGGTGGTTCAAGGAGGGGACACTCAGATCCTCAATATTAAACAATAAATAAAATGAAAACAATAAACCCACTGTAAAGTCTCAGCATTTTCTGCAAAGTAACCATGCAACTACAACTGCAGAAGTTTCAGGTTTCTTTGTCATTGTATCAACAGTTCAAATCTCAAACTGAAACTGTCATGTGATTGTGTGAGATACCGAGGCCTTGTCTGTCATCTATCATGTGACAATCTGGAAAATGACAAATGCTTTGAAGCAAGGCTTCATTTGAAGACATCCCCTCTACTTGATACAAGCCTTGAAGCGTTGGTGTCATATGTAACATCACTAGTAGTAGATGGGGCCATTCTGATCCACAGAAGGTGACAGTAATGTACATAAAGTTTGCCAAAAGCCACAGAAGAACAAGAAATCCGTTTACTTGTGGGCTCTGGTTTCACTCCTTCCAGCATTTGGATTGTTACTCCCTCTTGTTTGTTAGTCCTTTTTATTATGTTGTCAGTCTTCATCATGTTGCTGCCTGAAGGTGCCATTTATTTTCTTGTATTTCTTCAGTTTGGCCTCTGCAGACAGATTGAGCCTGTTTTGATTGTGTAGTGGATAAAACAAACAAGTAGAATATAGGATCAGTTATGCATAACATGTAATGCGAGATAGATCAACGGGTTATTCTTATGTAAGAGCAGCAAAAGGCATGGACCTGTTATTCTTTAGAAAAGTGTGCTGCTCTCTGGGAGAGGTCAGAAGTGTTCCGCATAGTCAAAACATCTTGCAGTATGTTTTCGGAAAGAGAAGCGAGCCTAGGGGTTGACGCAATTGGGGAAACAATGACAGGAAGCGGGAGCTGGGAATAAAGTTAGTAACAGAGTTGGTCAGGGATAGAGTGTATGCTTTCGGGAGAGACAGACAGTGATTCTGTTCCCTACCTTTCAGATTGTTGAACTGCTTTGAATTATTGTAATAATAAATAATCATTGGGATGATTTGCCTGAATTAATTTAGTTCACATCAGACCTTAACCACCACAACTGTGTGTTTTTCCTCTGCTTTCTGCAGTTCTGTTTTTTTTATTGCCTGATTTGTTCAGTCTTTAGTTTATTAAATCTGGCTTTACATTATCCTGCTTTATGTTGTCTACATTTATTATACAACCATAACACTATGTGGTAAGTTTTAGGGAAAAATCACGACTTAAAACACTTACTGACTAAAAAGCATAAGGATGCACAGCGGACAACTTTCAACTGTGGGAAAGTCCCATGTTTGTCTAAAAATATTTTGTCATGATATACTTGTTGACCAGACAGACCTGTTTGTCTACTGAAACCCTATATAAATTTCATAGGGATGCTGTCTAACAGAAACTGGACCAAAAATTTGCAAAATTACTTCATTAGCTAATTCAGGAAAATGCACTGGTCAACAAAACATTAAATTTGTGGTCAGTTGGAATGACTGCAAATTACAACCAGCATAATTGAATACAAAGGTACAAAATTGAAAAGCTAGGGTTAATTTGCTAATGATAGCAACATTTACACGTTAGCCAGCTACAGCATTTATGTGTCCGACAAGAAGAAAACCACATCATCATCAGAGTTAAGTGCTGACATTTACTGGCACTGTTATTTACTGTAACTACTGCTCCAGGGAAAACATTTTACCTCAAGGTCCTTCTTGACATGTGGGTGTGGATGGCTTACCTAACAGACCTAAAGGGCACAGGCCCAGGAGCCCAAGAGGTCAGGGGGGCCTCTGTATGTGTGAATGGTAATATTTCTTATTTGAAAATTCTACAACTGAGTTAAAAGGCTACGAATAAATGTGCATGTGGAGCGAATCGGGTGGAAGTGGGGGTTGATAAAACCCCAGCCTTTTTAAGTGAATTCCATCTTTTTTCTTTTTTTTTTTTTTACAAAAAATGAGTAAAATACAATTCATTCAAAGTTGTTGAATTAAGCATAATTCTTTTTCTAACTAGTTGTACTTTTTTATTCTATAAAGTCTGCCATGAGAATGATCTAACAACTTTTAAATTACTTTTTAACACCTTTTGAAAGTTTTTGATAAATGTAAAGAAAACAAGAGACCAAAACCGATACATTCTATTTATTTAGGGGAATTGCAATATTACTTTAGATTGTCCCTATTCAGGATGAATTATCAGAAGATATCTTGCTGTTTCTTTTTTTAGCTTTAGAAAATTCTGCCATGTCACTATGTAAACATTATTTGGCACCCACACCTGCTTTCAGCCACACCACTCCACAGCATCCAGTGACTCTACCACACTGAAAAGACATATAATCCTCTTTATGCAGCATATTCTAATACATTTTCTCAACTTTGGGGTGCTGCATATGTAACTGGTCCGGTCACAAATATATAGGGGCTGGAACAAATAGGGCAGGTTGTATTCTGGGAATAAATGTTACTTTTCTACTAACAAGCAGGAAACGGCATAGCCTAGCAACAGCACAGAGCAGGCCTAACCTGTTTTTATTTTCACAGGCACCAGACTGTTGTTTATGACAGACCTATGAAATTGTAAACCTGTCCTTTTTTGTTTTGGAGAACTGTGCCCTTTCAAGCAAAAGCATATGAAACATTGTCACATATTACCTTGTGGTAAGAATCAAGCCTTAAACGATTCCAACAGTTGATGGAAGGACCAGATTCTGACAAAAACATTAATAGACAAGTTTAATACCATCACAAACCTTCAGATGAGACCATACATACAGTGAAAAATGTGATGCAGAGTCTGGAGTGTGCCACAAGAATGATCACATAAACTTTAAATTTATTATTTCATTTAATTTAAACTTTTAATTTAATATTTTTTGACCAATGTAAAGAAAACAATAAAAACCAAAACTGATAAATTCTATTTCTTTAGAGATACTGCAATATTACATTCCTTATTTTTTAATTTAGAGTAAATGCCAGCTGCTGCACTTTTAGCAGAAGCATGTCTTCACAATTTTAAGCATGCTAACTCTTAACTGGCTTTTAAAGCTGCATTAACTAACTTCTCCCTCTAATCTTTGACCGTTAAGGATGTAGAAAGAGTCAAAACAAACTCGAGCAGTTTCCCCTCCTCCTCTCCCTCAGCTCCTCTTTGACCCTCCTGCCTTGTCTCTGAAACTACATCATATGTGGTCACAACAGCCAGACAGTTGTGGAAGGTAGTGCAGCTATAATAACCGGTTATTATAATATCCAGTTATTATAGCTGCATATGTAACATAAAGCCCATGGATTTTGGTGGCATTGGGGAAAGATCATGACTTGGGTTAAAACACTCGCTGACTAAAAAGCACAAGGATGCACAGCGGATATCTCTCTTCTGTGGGAAAGTCCCATGTTTGTCTAAAAATATTGCCACTTTAAACTCTCTGCCTAGATGGACCTGTTGGTCTACTGAAACCCTGTGCATTTAATGTAGATATTAAAGGCAGCCCTTTGACGTCATGAGACACAAAAGGATCTTCACAAAGCATCAATATTTGACACCATTGGAATGACAATAAGCCGGTTAAACAGGGTAAAGAGAGAAAGAGATGCCTTCATTGGGTACACTTCTCATTTGCTAACATGGACTGATCGAAACTGAAGTTAGGTAATCAAAACGCTTTACACCTTCAACAAAACAAGTTTATGTAGACCAAACCGAATCATTTTTGATTCACCTCCATCTCTGACAGTCCAACAAGAACATTAATAAACAAGTTCAATACCATCACAAACCTTCAGATGAGACCATACATACAGTGAAAAATGTGATGCAGAGTCTGGAGTGTGCCACCAGAATGATCACATAAACTTTGAATGTACTTTTTAAAACCTTTTTAAAGTTTTTGACAAATGTAAAGAAAACAATAGAAACTGATCAACTATTTCTTTAGGGGAATTGCAATATTACTTTCCTTAAATTATTTTTATGCCTCTCCCCATGTCATTGTGTAAACAACATTTATTGGCACCCCCCACACCATTCCACCCAGTTCAGTGGCTCTACCACACTAAAAGACATATAATCCTGTTTATGTAGCATGTTCTAAGACATGTTCTCACTATGGTTGGAACAAATAGGGCAGGTGGTGTCCTGGGAATAAACATTATTCTACTAACAAGTAGGAAAAGCCATAGCTTAGCAACAGCACAGGCTCACCTGTACACAGCTCTCTGTATTTCTCTCACACACAGACACACAGATGGAGCAACTTGTCCCATCTCCCATGCTGTATGGAATGTATTTGATTATGAAAAACAGAACATGTGTGCATGTGTTTACACCTTAAAAGGTGATTCATTTCTATCTAAAAATGAAAATCACCCTAACAAATTACACCTGCCACTCCACTCAGTGCTCCATACACCTGTCCTCCTTACATGCACCTCCTTCTCTACTCCCTCCCTCCCTCAGTCATGTTTTTCACACAGACTCCGCCTCAGCTTCTTTTCCACCCCCCACCACCCACTTTCAGCCACACCATTCCACCCAGTTCAGTGGCTCTACCACACTAAAAGACATATAATCCTGTTTATGTAGCATTTTCTAAGACATGTTCTCACTATGGTTGGAACAAATAGGGCAGGTGGTGTCCTGGGAATAAACATTATTCTACGAACAAGTAGAAAAAGCCATAGCTTAGCAACAGCACAGGCTCACCTGTACACAGCTCTCATACACAGACAGAGCAACTTGTCCCATCTCCCATGCTGTATGGAATGTATTTGATTATGAAAAAGAGAACATGTGTGAACATGCATGTGTTTACACCTTAAAAGGTGATTCATTTCTATCTAAAAATGAAAATCACCCTAACAAATTACACCTGCCGCTCCACTCAGTGCTCCATACACCTGTCCTCCTTACATGCACCTCCTTCTCTACTCCCTCAGTCATGTTTTCCACACAGACTCCGCCTCAGCTTCTTTTCTCAGCTATATACAATATCACTCCCCAGGTGTACTTATGAACAGTGGAGACTAATCATCTCACTGCAATGGACCGCATTGTATTAATGCTGCTGTGTGTTGCTCCAGTGGTCCAGTGCTATAAATCGGGTTTAGTTACGGCGAGCTGTGGAAGCTTGCACCCCAACCACAATGGAAACGCTCCTCAGACAGGAGCATCACCCTTTACCATCACTACAGACCGCAACAGCTGCAAAGTTGGAGAGGATGTCAAAGGTAAGTCTGTTATGGTTGGCTCAGTCCATGGCAAATAACAGGGCATGACAGTAATTTTAAACTTACAAGCATTAATTAAAGAAACTGAAAGAAATTGCTCTCAACATAAGTCAGAAGCTATGAGGTGTTTAAGTCTGTAGAAGCAGTAAATGTGTGAGTGGCTGCATGACAAGGTAGCTGTCAGGTGTTCCATGGAAAAATAAAATAAATAAATAAACAGGGTGCTGAACAGCTTTTCTCCTTTGTACTGAGGGTGTTTGGTTACTTACTAGGTAATTATGAGCACTGGTCCCAGCTGCTCCCTTTGATGGCCCACCAACTTATTACCTGCAAAACAAGAGAGGACACAAGCAGGTGCTACCAGCCATAGGTCAGGGCTGTCACGCTAAGCACAGTTAGTACAAAGCAGCTACAGTATTATATCTTCATTATTAAGTATAGTATTAATCATTACTAAATGTATGTATTCATTATTTGTAATTAAATCCATAAAGTTTGTTGTATATTGTATATTACCTTACATAACTTACTGTAAATATCAATTTTACATATCTATTACTAAATTAGTTCTGACTGTTCATACTGTAGATACTGCGCACTCTGCACTGCTGTTATTGCACTTCTGGTTAGATGCTAAACTGTATTTCAATGCCTGGTACTTGTACATGTGTAGTGACAATAAAGCTAGTAGGGTTACGACATTTACTTAAAGCACAAATGTTTCTTAAACAAATGAACATTTCCTCTTAAAGGTTCAGTCCACTAAAATTACTGAATCTCATAATTTTGCTCCATACTCCATGCAGATAGTTTTGCGTTTACTTAGAGATGGATGTAATTTATTTAGACATGGGAATTACCCACTATGTATCATCCACAAAACCCAAAGATAACAGTTTTCACTGGAACTACAGTGTTTCTTTATATCTATAAACGCCCACTGCTTTGCATTCAAACTACATGGTTACCTATTCTAAATAGAAATGGTTACCTGATAAATTGTTTAGTTAATAACATCTTAGAAAACAAAATGCAATTAAAACACAGTAATAGAAAGAGCAAGGTGAATGGTACGATAGTCAATGACAAAATCAACAATGATTATTATTGTTGATCTAATCTGTTATGTAATGTCTCAAGTACAAAGCCAAATATTCTCTGGTTCCTTCTACTTTGTTTTATATTATTATGAATTTAATAAGTTGCACAGTTTTTTTTTATTTGGGGAGTGGGGGGGCAGCATATATCAGCTTCACCCTGTGTTGACAGGGTGTTAAATCATTTAGGCACACCAGTATAAGTGAATCTTGAGTTCTGACAAAGTTCAGTGTAGAGATCATTCAGGAAGCAGCTTTGTGTTTTTAGCTGGTGCTGATCGTTGCTGTTCCTGTTTTAAAGTGACAAACATCAGGGTCGTATCACCTGTCGCTATCTAATGTTAACTCCACGACTGAAACTGATGACAGGCCAAAATGAAACTTGCTGTTGTTGGGTTTGTGTGCTCACTGCAAGGTGGTGGGTAAGCACAACACTACTGTCTGCACTAAGCCAAAGACTGTTTATGAGGTAAAAGAAGCATCGTCTGTAACACAACTGAACAATCAGATTGGACTATCTCCAACAGAGTTATACGTCTTCTGTTGTAAAACCATTACTAGATCTCACAGCAGTTTCAGCAATCAGAATGTCCCAGTTAAAATTTAATTCATATCATGTCAATAAGCAAATCAACCTTTAAGTCTGAAACAGGACCATCAGTATTTGGAGCAAGTAGCTTTAGGAAAATATTTGGTACAAATATTCCTTGGTGAATGAATTAATTCAACCTTATAACAATAGTTAGGCTGCCACTGAAAGGACTCAGATTAAATAAACAAATTCAATACTCAGTTCAGGTTGGATAATTACGTGTGCCTCTCATTTTTTCATTTAGAGGTGCCAGTGCCCTGAAAAATAATGTTACCATAGAGCTCTGCTCTCATTTTAATACAACCTCAAATCAGAAAAAGTTGGAATGGTATGTAAAAACAAAATTAAAACTAAAAACAGCGATGTATAAATCATCTGTGTCCTGTATTACATTGAAAACAATACAGAAGCACATTATTTAATGTGATACCTCAATTTAATTTTTAGTTCAAAATAAACACTCACTTCAGCTCTGATGCCTGCAACACATTCCACAAAAAAGAGATGGCTGCATTTCAGGGCCAGTAATGAGATAAAATAATGATGTCAACAGCTATCTGCAATCATGATTTGGTACAACAGTGGCATCCAGGAAAGGCCGAGCCCTTTACAAGAAAAGATGGGCCAAAACCCTTCCTGTCTTTCTTTGAGGAACATTGTTTTTAAACATTTCAATAATTTTCTTACTCATATGTTGACAAACCAGATGCCCATCTTTTCTTGTAAAGGGCTCGGCCTTTCCTGGATGCCATCGTTGTACCAAATCATGATTGCAGATAGCTGTTGACATCATTATTTTATCTCATTACTGGCCCTGAAATGCAGTCGTCTCTTTTTTCTAGAATGTGTTGTAGGCATCACAATTTAATCAAGTGTTTATTTTGAACAAAGAATAAAATTCTTGAGGTATCACATCAAATAATGTGTTACTGTATTTTTTTTAGTGTAATACAGGACACAGATGATTTACAAATCACTTTTTTCAATTTTAACTTTGATTTTACACACTGTCTCAACTTTTTCTGATTGCCATTAACTGTATTTGTGCATCTGATATTATTTCTAAGGAGCCTGGGTGCCATGTGTGGCTTATTTTCTTTGTTTTTGGGTGAGAAAAATGTTGCTTTTTGTGCCCTCACCAGTTTGCACCTCTGTTTATAATGTACTGAAAATGAGTGAGCAAATGAAAATGTCATCATGCAACATCTGAATTCATGGTCAGCTTGACTTTCCTGGCTGTAAACACTGAAGTGATATTTTTTTTCTCTCAGTTACTCTTCAGGGTCAGAGCCAAACCTACGATGGTTTCCTTTTACAGGCTAGGATTGTGGGGGGGCAGTCTCCTGTGGGCACCTTCACCCTGATACCAACTAATGCTCAGCTCCTCACATGCAGCCAGAAAGCTGTGAGTTTGCTTCCATGGCACAGATCCTAACATGAACAACATGCAGGCCTGCAGCAGGCAACACAATATATGTCTTGTTTACTACTGCACAACACACAATCAATGAAGTTATATGTGTAAAGCAGAAGAAAATACTTTGAAAGCGTAACAATACCAACAATAAGGTGATAAAACGTGAGACAGAAGGTATGACACCCTCCTTTTCTCTGTATGCGTGTGTGTGTGTGTGTGTGTATTCAGGACTCTGTATCTCACAAAGATGGATCTGCTAAGAACACTATCCAAGTGACATGGAAACCAGATGCATCACTGGCTGGGGAAAACATTCAGTTGCAGTAAGTCTGAGCTAAACTGTCTTGCTCTATTCCATTTCTGTGCCATACGTTTTTGTTACCGAGTCATTACTGCATTATGCCAAAGTGTATACCTCAATTCATAAAACCTGGTTTGGTGTTTCTACAGTGCAACCTTTGTGAAGAGTTACAACACATTCTGGGTTGATGTTACAAGTCCTGTCCTGAATGTGTCTAGTGATACTAATGCTGTAAGTACTGAAACAATAAGGGTTTGAGAGTAGAGGTTGCTGGTTTAGTTTCCAGAGTGACAGGATTAAATCTGGGTGGGACAAATAAAGAAAACAATGTTTGTTCCTCTCTCATCAACACCACTATGCTGCAATGCTAGCTTTTGTGTTGGATATATTCCAGGTGTGATTATGAGTATCATTGCAAACACATATAAGTCCCTGTTACATCGTCACACCCAGCAGTTACCTGGGGAAAAAGATACGTGTCTGTCAGCAGCGTTGAACTTTCAGATCACGCTCAGCCTTTGTATCTATCATAGCATTAATGAATGCTTACACTTTCCACCAGTCCCTGACAAGTTTTTCACTCACTCCAAACTCTATTTCCACTGCTTGGCTACCAATTTGGCTGCATACTTCAAAAACTATGGTTTAAATTCTGCAGTATAGCTCTTTCTTTTTGGTGGGATTTTGTTTGTGCTTGCTGACTGTTAGAGTTGTGTTTCAGTTTAGTGTACATTTTTCTGTGGTACAGTAACTCAATTGAATCATGATTGTATTCTGGTGGCTGTACTAGAGCACTGGGATACAAGTCACAGGACCTGTCAGATTAATAAGTGCACCTTGCTCTTATGACCTTTGCCTTAATTGGGGGGTATCTGGCAGCTGTCTATATCCCTCTCACAGTTCAGTTCTATCAGAGGCCTGTACCAGGAAGCAAGTTCAGCTTAGTCTGGCTCTCTTGGGTAACTGGTACCACAAAGCTAGTTCTCATCTGGCTGTTTGAAGCCTGGGCTTTTCATCGCAGCGCTCTGATGATAACAAAGTATTGCATATATGTGATGCACATAAAAGAATGACAGTAATGTCTGAATGTTTCCGCTGCCAGAGTAGAAAAGAAAGTAGTTAATGCCTGGTAAGGTCAGTCTTACTGGGAGGTTCAAAATTACTACACTGACCTTTAAACATATATACTTATTATTTCTCACTTTATAGTAAACTCTTTTATCTCTTTCAGGATCCTGTAGGATGACTCAGTTATTCTGGCCATCTGATTGATAAGGCTGTTGACAAGTTTAGAGTTGGCCCTCTGAAATTAACGTGCCCTAGTGCAGGTTAGCACTGCAGCATAGGTTACCATGGCCATCTAACCCAGTTAACACATAGCCAGCTTTGTGGCACCAGAAAACCTGAGTTCAGCCAAAAGATAGCTGTGTAACTCACTAACCTTATGTTGTGGTACAGACATTTCCAGCTCCTACCACTGTATCTGGCTTTCAAACTGAACTTAATATTCCTCTTTACCCTTATACTGTAGATGGCTATTCTGGATTGTTCTAAAAGATGTTCTACTCTTTTGAGAGCTATGAGATGTAATAACTTTAACTGTTTTGTACAAGGTGGATCCATTGTACTGTCAGTCATGGGAAATGACTCACAAATATGTTCTTCTTGTTATGTCAATATGATAGTAGAGCTTCA